ATCGACAGGGCAGCAATTGTTCCTTCACTACTAGAACCATGTTTTGTACTTACAGAGAATTGGTTTTCACACACTGAACTCACCTTTCAAACACGAACCAGCACCACGACGAGAATACATAAGAGACAGTCACACAAAGCGATGCCACTGAAACCTCAACACCGGACGCCAGCTACCCGTGGACTCAAACAAGACGAAGCAGAACTAGTCAGGTAGCCAGCCAACGACACCAAGCCTCGAACGGTCATAAAGAGGGGGAAACAAAACAAAAAAACAAAAAATACTGCGGGGTCCGATGAGTGTCAGCTGCAACACACGAATACAACAAGGGAGCAAACGAAGATCAGAAAGGATATATGGGTAGAAAGCAGGGTGGAATGACAGTGAGCACTACCCACCTGCACAAACACAAACGCGAAAAAAACTAGCTGCTGGACTGCACACTGTTGGCCTGATCAATGACCCACCCCCGACGCTGGAAAACAACAACCGTAACTGCAGAAAAATGGGGGGGAGTTGCAATAGTTTCCTAGCATAGACTGCGGAAATTGTGACAGTCGGTTGTAGTGCAGAGTGGGGTAGACACTGAGCATCTGCGTCTCTTTAAGACCCTGGATGGTGGGGGTAGCAAGCTCTGGAAAAGAGCAAAAAGCGAGGTCACCCAAGTCGGAGCCAACCCCAAGGTGCAGGTTTTGTCTCCCTATGATCGCCGCCTCACGCTTTTACGTTCGGCTGCGTTCTAAGTGTTGGTATCGTCACTTTGACCTGCCCCTCGCTCGCTCTCTCAATGCTACTATTACTACTACTACAGTGTTGCTACTCCTACTATTCCATTGCTGGGCTTATCAGTATCATCATCATCCTCATCAGGTTTGTTGTATCTCGTGGTTTGTAGTCTGAGTCACCGCAGCCTCGGAGAAGAACCAGGGGAGCTACTACCAATCGCATCCTCCACTTGTCGATTTACTCTTCCACCCCACTTCGCAACTTCATCTCTCCCCTTTCTCCAATGGCTTTTCCGCCGCTGCCTCGTGTCTACATGATGGGCACGTTACGGTGACTCCCACTGCGGCTGAGAATAAGAGTATTAATAATAATCTTGGCTTTGTATATAATCGGAGCTGCGGCTTCTGCATATCGCATCTCCATGTGGCTACTTTCGAATGGGTAGAACCGCGCATTGGTTTTTGTTTTGTTTTGTTTTTTCTTAAACTCTCTCAGTCTAGTCATTTAATTCTCATCCTTTCTCTTATAGCTTCCGTTTTAGACATACACGCTTGCTGTGTGTATGATACTCACCCTGCGGTTTGTGAACATGTGATTTGCTCTTGCTTTAGCTGAATTAGCGGAGACATGCACACAAAATATGTTTGTAAACACAGTTACGGGTCACGAAAAGGGGACGTTGGATGTGAGCGTGGGTGTGCGTTAATCAGGTCCAGGAGTGTGTGTTCATTTGCAGGACCTGGACTACATTCTTACGTAGAAAAGTATATATGTGCGTATATAGTTCATGAACGCAATCACACGTTCTGTTTCTTCGTAACATAATAACACAGTCACGCTTGTCGCTCATGAATATCCTGAGAATTTGGAACAAAGCTTGATTGATGGGAATGAAAAGCTTAGACTCATCCTCGGCTTGTCATTTGTGTGAAGAATGTTATGCCACTCAGATTGATGCTTATTTAAGCATCTGACATGGTTTTGGCAAACCATTTCATTGCAGTGTGTGTATGAACTGAGTCTAGACACTTTCAAAAACGTTGTAAAATTAGACGGTGAGGACGTTGCAGAATCAGCCGTATTGGCAAAGATGAGTGAATCTAGATTGGTGTGGAAAATAATTGAAGGCCTCCAACTCCCCAACCACAAGCTGCAATGCTCATAAATGACAAGCTTGTGAAAGTTCTGATACACAGCATATTATAAAAAAGGGTAGAAGCGATGCTATCCCCCCTCTTTTGCCTGCTTTGTTAATTAGACCAGCTTATTGATTAGTGTTGGTGTGAATCTGAGCATGATACCCGGAGATTCAGTTAATTAAAGTGGATTTTAGTGCTAAAAACGTGTTTGTGATTTGTGTAAGCTTTCTCAGAACCTTGCCCTTATGGGTGTGCAAAATATAGCCCTGAATGGGGTTCTAACCCTAATCGGAAAGAAGTAATGTGGTGACTCGGTCTATTTTTTAAATTGGTATTGTTTAACTTGTAAAATATGTTGTTATTCTTTAAAAAAATTAAAACAATAATAATAACTTGATGTGCACGGTTTCAATTCTCTTGAAGTTAATGTCAATTTGAATGTTGTAGTGTAGTCTATAGTCTAGTTTTATATATATATATATATATATATATGTGTGTGTGTGTGTGTGTGTGTGTATATGTTATTTAAAAAAATATATTATGATAATAATCAGGATTAGGATAAAAAAGAATTAATTAATAAATTATATATATATATATATATATATATATATATGTGTATATCTTTCGTTTGATCAATTTTTGTGTGAGTTGGTTCGAAAATTTTAATCAAAAGATACACTATGAAGCCTCATTTTGTAGTTGATTGATGTGACAAAAATGTATATAAAGAACCATAAATAGTATTTAAATAAAAATTTATTATTATTTAATTTTTATTAATGAAAAATGGTTTTGAATATTAAAACTGGTTGAATAACACTGAATGTAAAACAATTTATATAAAATTATATATATATATATATTATTTGAAACAAATGGCTATTGAATAGAATTGAAAGATTTAATTTTGTAGTACATCACGATTTTTGATATTGTGATGTTATATGTATAATTATATCAAGACTTCATATCATTTGCATAGTGAATAGATTCTGTTGCTAATTATTTACAAACAAATAATTATTTTTGTATACCTCAAAATATTTTGGTAGTCAAGTTTAATTTACTATATATACATATATAAGTACTATTATTTATTTTATTTTATTTTATTTTATTTTAATTAAAAAATATATTTAATTTAATTTAATTAAATTCGAGTCATGTTGATAAGACGTCAAGTTATCATAGACTTAAATCAAATCAAATTTAATTTCTTTGTTTGACCAATTAATTTTTCTAATAAATTATCATAATCTTATCATAAATTCTTGCTAAAATTTTAGAATTTTTTATTTCTTGAATATATAGTCTCATGAACATTTAGAATTAAATAATATGAAAGACTCTCAAATTTTTATAATTATTTTTTACACAACCTTGCAAAGCTTAAGCAATTTTAATTGAAGATATGCTGTTACAGTAAAGCAGTATAATTTTTTTATTTGATTCTTTAAAAATCTATTAAAAGCCTTACTTAAGATGTAAAATGTAACTAAAATAATATGCCTCATTGCTTAAATTGTATGATTTGTAACAATGCAAAAAATTAAAATTAATAGTATATTTTTATATGTTAATGCTTTAAAGCTAATTAATGGATATAAATATTTTATATTTTATATTTTATTTATACATTCATACTAATTACAAAGATATGTTATATTTTATCGCAATTGTCTTAAAAGATAGACAAAGAACTAGAAATCTATGTAGTACAAGATTTAACAACTGAGCTTTGATATATTTAGTAGATTGTATAGGCTTAATTTACTATGAGAACTTTTAAAATTATATTTATCCAATTATTATAATATCAAGAATATTTTTAATTAATAACTTATTCATAGATCTAGAGGAATTAGTATAATGATTAAATATTTCTTTATGGTTTTTTAAAATAACCTTATGCATTGTTTTATTGTAGTCCTAGATACTTGACTATTTGACCTCACCATTTTAATATAAATCTGAAATACCAACTCTTATCTTTGTTCTAAGAATTTTGAAATTTACT